CCCCCCCCCCCCAAAAAAAAAATTATCTGTGCATTTTAGCATGGATTAGCATGGATTACAATCACTGTTCCACTTTAAAAAAAACTCCTTGGCAGGTGATCCCCCTCCTCCATCTCTGTAAACTGCAGGACACACATGCACACCTCCAAAATAGAAAAAATTCAAAGCGGGTAGGCTGTTTTTTGCCTACCCTTACCTGCCTGTCCGCCTACATGTGCAGCTCAGTGTACATTCTTGGCATACCTCAGTGACAGAGTGAATGAGCTCCAATGCGCATGCACAGGAGTTACCTACTACTGGCCCAGTCAACCGAGATCCCAAATCTGGAAGAAGATGTTGGCACCAGGAAGGGCAGCTTTGCCTGTAACAAAATGGATGTACTCGCAGGATCAATGAGTAATACAACAATATTACAGGGGGCCTCAGAAAAAAAACAAATATTGCTGTTTCATTGCCACTGGCAGACTGCATAATACATGTAATTATTTTTGTACATAGCTGTACTCTAAATACATTTTGTTTGTGAAGCATGAGGAAAGGCCCGGAAACACACAATTTGAAAATGTGTCATTTTTGTATGCAGATATCTGTAGCTATCTTTAGATTATTTTTAATGATGAACAAACAATTGTACTTACAGCAAGATGTGGGCGATACAACCATTGTTGAGTTTGTTGCTGTAGCAAATAACTGTACTAAAGAAGAAGCAGAAGCTGGTTTGATTGGGTGTGCAGCAGAATCTGGTCCCATTGTTGTAAGTATTTATTGACAAATAAGTAGACATTTCCATTTTATCAAATGTTGTAGAGCAGGGGTGCCCACAATTTTTGTGTTCAGATCTACTTTTCAAAGGACGAGCTACATGAGATCTCCAATGAAAAAAAACTCCCTCACTCTCTCCTGGGTGTCTCTCCTTGCTCATCCTCCTGGCTGTCTTTCCTCGCTCTCTCTCCCCTGCCTGTCATTCCTCGTTTTCTCTCCTGGCTGTCTCTTTTTGCTCTCTTGGCTGTCTCTCCTTGTTCTCTCCCCAGCTGTCTCTCCTCTCTCTTTCCTGGCTGTCTCTCCTTGCTCTCTTGGCTGTCTCTCCCCTCTCTCTTTCCTGGCTGTCTCTCCTTGCTCTGTCCCCTTGCTGTCTCTCTTCGCTCTCTCTCCCCTGGCTGTCTTTCCTCTCTCTCCTGTCTGTCTCTCCCGCTCTCTCTCCTGGCTCACCCTGCTGTATTTTGCAAACAGTGTAGTGCAACAGGCTGTGTAAACTAATATTCTTTGATGTAATACATAGCAACCACCAGCATCCACCAGAAAGGTGTCAGGGAGCTTAGGTCAGCAGACTCAGGCTAATAGGTAATCATGTGTGCAGGGTGAAAACTTTGCCTCTGTGCAGGAGCCTCCTATAATAAAGTCCAGTCACTGCTAATCTCTCTCCTTGTACAGGGTGACTGGTCCTGTATCCCCCCCAGTAGTTTTCTGCAGGCAGCCTGTAGTGGCTCGGGCCTGCTGGGTCCTTCCCACAGCTATGCTCTCTGCACAGAGTATATACAGCACAGGGATGGTGTCATTTTTACATGGTAATAATAACTACATTTGCAACGGCATTTGATCCTTGCTCTCTTGGCTGTCTCTCCCCTCTCTCTTTCCTGGCTGTCTCTCCTTGCTCTGTCCCCTTGCTGTCTCTCTTCGCTCTCTCTCCCCTGGCTGTCTTTCCTCTCTCTCCTGTCTGTCTCTCCCGCTCTCTCTCCTGGCTCACCCTGCTGTATTTTGCAAACAGTGTAGTGCAACAGGCTGTGTAAACTAATATTCTTTGATGTAATACATAGCAACCACCAGCATCCACCAGAAAGGTGTCAGGGAGCTTAGGTCAGCAGACTCAGGCTAATAGGTAATCATGTGTGCAGGGTGAAAACTTTGCCTCTGTGCAGGAGCCTCCTATAATAAAGTCCAGTCACTGCTAATCTCTCTCCTTGTACAGGGTGACTGGTCCTGTATCCCCCCCAGTAGTTTTCTGCAGGCAGCCTGTAGTGGCTCGGGCCTGCTGGGTCCTTCCCACAGCTATGCTCTCTGCACAGAGTATATACAGCACAGGGATGGTGTCATTTTTACATGGTAATAATAACTACATTTGCAACGGCATTTGGTGCACACAAAGTGGATTTATATTCTTTTTGGCTATCGAGGAATATATTTAAGTAAACATTTTTGTGCCTAACTTTGAGCTTTTAAAAAAACTATCTACCCCAGGTAGCTGGCACACCTCACACCAGGTAGCTGGCACACCTCACACCAGAACATAAGATTACCATAAACCAGGTATTCTTAATATTGTTACATTGTGCTGTGTTGTTAAACTGCCATTAAGTTTGCTGTGTTTGTGTTGTACTTTTTTTTTTTTTAACAGCACTATGCCTCTTGTTCTGGGACAGTGGTGAAACTCCCTGGAGTAGCTGATGAAGATGTCACTGTGAAATGTGTAATCCATGAACCCCAGGTAGTAAAAACTAAAGAAAACAGAGATTAAACTCATAAATATGTTTTAGTAACTGGCACACTTCAAAGTCCAACTACAAACAGCACTTTTTATTTTGTTTTGAATAGTGCTGGAAAGGGTTAAAGCATCTGCTAGCTTTTTAATGCTATCTGTGTCTCCATTGGAGAAGACAGGAAGTGACTGAAGATCTCTCTAAAGCTGCCCATACACCTTGCGATCATCAGACGACACTTTTCGTCCGATGATCAAACCGTCGTACGATTTTCGGACGGCAGCCCCATCCTGCCCCGATTATCACAAGGTTGGATAAGCGGTAATTAAAAGTAAGCACCTGGACGAATTGTGGTAATCGACCACACATATTTTCATCTGCGCATGTGCAGTGTAGATCAAACGAATTTTGACGTACGGAAACGCCACCAACCTTGCGAAAATCGTACGATCGACCAAAGTTTTCTAACCTGCTGGTTGGTCAAAAGTCGATCGATTGTACAGTATTTGCGGTAGTACAATGCCCATCAACCTTACAAATATCGGACGAAAACGCCATCGCATGCGGAAAACAAATCTTCCGATATTCATAAGGTGTATGGGCACCTTTACATAGACAGAGACAAAGACATAAACACATTTTTAGTGATGAAGATTCAGGGTCTGTTCACACCATATGCGTTGGGGTTGTGCTGTACGTTTTTTTTGTTGCATTTTTAGCTTCTCTTTATTTAGTGAAACATTTGCAATGGTTTTATTTGTATTTGTAAAACCTGACTCCAAAATTTTTGCTTGTGCTTGACGTTTTTTCCAGCGCAGCCCGAACGCAAGCCTAGTCAATTTGCTGTGTCATGGGTGGCCACAGTTATAGATAAATAAGCCACCAGCACTCTGTCCTTTATTGACGTCGGGACCTCTTACAATTTTATATTACTGTCCATGCATTTGCTGAGCGGTGAAAACTGCTCCCACATTTTTTTTTACAGGGACAGGAGTAAGGGGAAATTTCCCAGTCATAAACAGAAACAAAACTGCAGTTTAAACTGAACTGAAAAATAAATGCCACGAGTTAGGCTTTAAATCTCAGACTGTTATCGATTTATTTAACCTAAGCCTCCTTGTATAAAGCAGCATTGGGGCAGAATGTATCAAAACTGGAGCAGACAGAATCTGAAGCAGTTGCTCATAGTAAAAATCAGCTACTATCATCAGTTTGTTCAGTTAAAGAAGTACTGGGAGCGTAAAATGTACTCTTCTTAATATTTAGAGCCAGTGTGTGGCACTGCAGGTCTCTAGTTCTTTATGGTGCTCTCTAGGTGCTCTATAGTTCAAAAGCAGAACGTTAACAAACCTTTGATCGCTGAGCTCACAGTGGTCACTGTCAGTCACTGCTCCCTGCTCCTCATTGGAGGGACAGACAGGGGAGGGGTGGGCACAGCTAGCTCTGGTGCTAGAGAGGCAGAGCAGGCTGTCAATCAGGCAGCGGAATGGATCCCAACAATATTGTCAGGATCTTTCCTGACTGCAGCACGGCTCTGCGCTGGCAGCAAATAGTGGGCAGTAGCCTGCTGGATGCTGATTTTGGGTCACAGAAGTACATGCGTTAATGTACTTCTTTGACCAAGAAGAGGACTAAAGCCAAAAAAAGGTTTGAAGCTTTGAAAATGAAAGATAGAAGCTGATTGGTTTCCATGTAGAGCTGCTCTGGATTTTGATAATTCCCCCCACCTCATTGTATTTTATATAGCTTTCCTACCCATAAGCATATATTATTTATTTATTATAAGTGGTATTTATATAGCGCCGACAATGTATGCAGCACTTTACATAGTTGTACATTCACATCAGTCCCTGCTCTCCAGGAGCTTACAATCTAAAGTCCCTATGTCACATGCATACATATAAGGGCCAATTTAGACAGGAGCCAATTAACCTACCAGCATGTCTTTAGATATAGTATATAATCACCACTTTCCATTACTGCAAACTCCATAGTCAAAAACTACCTTCAATGGTACTTTAGCAAACTGAATTTCTTTGTTGTTTGTTCTCCTACAGCATAACTGTGCAACTGAGACTGGTCTGACCTTCTTTTGCATCCCACAAGGCCTCAGCTGCACAAAAAGCAGAGTGGCAGTGGGCTCTCTGCATTCCACTATCCCTGACACTGTCTGCTGGGTGCAGTGATGCCAGGGAGGGAGGCAGCAGCAAAAGAACCACTGAACTCCAGTGAAGGGGTCATTTATTGCTGCCACTGACAAGCAAAGGGGAGGGGAGGTTTATTGCTGCCACTGTCACTAATAAAAGGGAAGTGTTGTTATTGCTGCCACTGCCAGCAAATAATGAGGGGGGGGTATTATTGCTGCCATGACACCAATGAAGGGGGTTATTATTTTTGCCACTGACACAAATGCTGAGGGTTATTATTGCTGCCACTAACACCAATTAAGGGAGGTTTATTATTGCTGCCTCTGCTTTGAGCTGAACACCATTTCCCCAAAACCCTTTCTTGGTTGTGTATGTGCCAGTCCGTTGCTTCTATGTAGGCTGGTGTGAGAGGGACATGGAGCGGCAGTAGCCAAGTGGATGAAGAGGCCCGTAAGGATGGACCTTCTAGAATGGGGGCTATCACTCTTATATGCACATCCTTTCATAGTTTTCTTATATGTATGGTCATTGCCTGATAGTTTTTTAATGGAAATAGGAAATAATGGTTGATTAAGATGCATACAGATACAAGTAAGACCTATAAACATGGACATTTATGTCAGTGGCCAGGAATGAAGCCCATAGCACTAGATTACACTAGCATGTGGTATGCCTTGTGCTATGGAATACCATATTAAACTGTTGTTTCTAATAAATTACTGCAGCTAAATAAATGTCACTTTTAGAGTAGCTCAAGTGTGCAACTGACCTTCTAATACCAACGGAACAGACTGTAGTCTAAACATTGTCCTATGCATGTCAGTTGTTAGGATGGTTGCTCATTAAAATTTAAACCTGCAGATCTAGTTATCTAACTACAGCAATATTTTGTGAATTGTTTTTTTTTTCAGCCCAGAAAAGATGCTCAAGCTCCACAGCCTGCTCCAGTGGCACCTGTCGTACCTGGTTTTATACCCTCACGTTTCCACCATAACCTTCATTTTAATAACCTGGGTATCCACTCATCCGAATCCAACTCCGCTGAACATCATCTTCTGGCTGCCCATGCACAACGGGCTGTCAAGAGGTCATTGACAGGAGAGCCAGTACAAACTAGTGTGGGAAGGCCTCCTTTGTGCCCTGGGAGAAAAATACACTTCTAAGCTTCTAATCTACATACTATGCTCTTTTTCTTCTTCTTCTGTTTCTTGTTGATCACTGAGAAGACATGTTTTCCAGACTGTCACTCGGTGGCAACTATTGATCAAAAGCAGTTGAAATTAACCTGATCTACAACAGTAAAGTAGGGTACACACAGTATTAATTTTTGCCATTCCTGATGAATCTTACAGTGGTGTCGCTGTCAGCACCCATCCTCCCGGCATCCTTCCATTAGCTGATCGAATGATTAGATTGAAACTTTCTCAGCTGAATGGAGCAGGCAGCGAATCAACTGCTAGCTCCGTTCGAGTATTCTGACTGCGGCCACTGTCAGAACCCAATGCAAACAGTGGAGGATTCATTAATTGATGCTCGTAAGCGTTGATGGAGAAATCTATTCTAATTTTTTTCGTTCAGCCTGCGGGTTTATCGAAAAAATAGAGACTTGTATATCCGACGTTAGTCTGTGAAAAAAAATAGAAAACATGTCCTGTTAGTGATCCCCAAGGGCGAGTTTGCAATTCCATAGTGTGAATCCTCTTACAACCAGTCTAATTTCTTATTTCACACATGAAGCAATTTTGCTTGTTTTCTTTAACAATTACAATATGTCTTAATTCATGTCGCGCAACCTAAAGGATTTTCTGATTCAATATTTTTAGTGCACAGGATGCAATTAAAAAGACAAAGTCCTTGGCTTGGACATGATAAGTTAATCCTTTCAGTTTACTGTACTATGAATGGCTGAGACAGTTAGTATGGTGAATAACTGGGGAATGCTAAATGCATCAAGGGGTTTGCTATAGGACACAGATTAATTATTTCATACGTTAGATAAATCGCAGGTGATGGAGTATGATTTCACTCTACCTTAAGCAATAACAGCAAACCCTTAATGAGACACTCAAGTTTTGGTACTCAGCTACTCAGCTAACCCATGTTAGACTGCTCATGTGACGAGCAGGAATTGGGTTTAAGTTAAGAACTGCTTATGTCTGTGGTATCCAGTCTACAGCCCTTATCATGCAGATTTCAGGCCCCAGCAGTCAGTGGTTAGGGTTTTCCTGGCTAAGGTGCTTGCTCAGATGTGATCAGCACATGACATCTAACAGTGTGAGGAGAAGTGTTCCCGAACTGTGACTTTGCATGTAATGTAGGGAAAACCTGCTCTCTGTAGCATCATGTGTGCAACACAAGACCTAAAGCATGGTGACTGCAGTACCTACACTACCAGAACAATTGCACAGTATGGCATATCCCCAATCTCTTACCTTGTCCTTCATTACATCTACAGTCCCCAGTTACCCATGCAGCATGTCCGCAGTCTCTTACCTTGTCCTGCATTACATCTATAATCTCTACTTACCTATACCATGCGCACAGGCTCTTAACTTGTCCAGCATCACATCTGCAATCTCTGACAGTCTTTTTCAGCATTACATATACTAAATATTATGTGGAGTCCTTTGGTAACCTAATTAATTGACCAACTTTGTGTACTACTCGTTACAAAATGGTGCTCAACAGAATCACTCTTTTATTTGAAAGCATCTGCCTTGGGTTGTTAAATGCTAGAAAGAAATCAAAGTTTGTTACTCCAACTTTTCCACTGGCTCTAGTAATTGGTATTTTAAATACTATACTGTTAAATTTACTTCTAGTTATACGATTATACCAAATGTGAAACAACATCGGTGAAATCTGTGGTCTACCCAAGTGCATTCAAACGTAATAAATACAAGTAATTCAGATGAATGTACATTTAGGAGAACTACCACTGTTATGAACTCATTAGTGTCACACAGGCATGTATATTTCACAAAAAACAAACACACATAGCAAAAGGTGCTCTTTCATTATTTACTTGGTACTATAATGTACAGGTTTAAGGTGGTAATAATTATCCATTATCTATTTACAGTTGTACAGTTAGGTAAAATCATATTGGCTTATATAAATGCAGGTAATGTGCACATTTTACAACAGCTTGCTGTAAAGTGTTGTAACTGTAACTGCTTCATGGACCCTCCTGGACTCATGAGAGATAAAAACAACTCAATGGTGCTAATTTCTTTGCTAATAAAGTTCAATACTACAGTGTTCCTGTTTTTTGTTTTTTTTACTATTTTTTAAGTTAATAGTAAGTATTTCAATCTGCATTGTTTCAGAAGGTAGTAACTCTATTTTTGCTGAAAATAAAAAATAGATTTCTAATATTACATTTTATGTTAAATACAATATTTGTTTAATTTGGATAAACAACACTGTTGTTGAGTCATTCCTCCTTTTTGTATGATTTTTTTTCTGCCACTTTTTGGCGGTCTTCAGTGTCAGCTGCCCTATCAGCTAAGTGGTGCCCCTCCTTCTATTTTTGTGTTAGGTAAAATGAATGTATTAGAAATGATGGCTGCACCTGGCCAAAAATAGAAATCGCACTATTTTTAAAAGTCCTACAAATGTATTAATGTTTATTGTATAGGTAGAAATTGTTGCTACAACTTTTATCGCTGCATTTTATGTCTGTGTACAGAGAAAGAAGAGAACTGTGTCCCAATTAGTCCTCTGCCTACTTTTGTTACTTAAAGAGGAACTGAAATGTAGAAGCTGTGCCAAAATCAGGCAGAGGGCAAAAGACTAGTCACCATTGTTGCCTGTGATTTACCCCCATTACTGACATTCCATGCCTTGTTCTACTGTATCCCTGTGTGGGACTGACCATTTTGATAGAGGCAAGGCTTTACTTCCATATACCAGAGTGTCCAATAAGTTAAACAGTGAGCAACACATGAGTGACATCACCAGATCTCATAAGACTAGCAGTTAGAGGCACAGTGCCTTGGATCTCAGATAACAGATAAATAGGTATGAGGCTATATGCACAGCAGTGCCTAGGCACCTTCACATACCTCAAAATTTCACAAGTAGCCCTCATATGAATCCTGCATTTGGTCTGCTAGCCTCCTCCCCCCTTTTTGTTTATCAGAAAACCAAAAAGTATATATATCATAGGGTTTACATGAGGCACGTATGTCTATTTTATCATTAAAAAGTTGCTTATTTCATACATCCTAAAAACAAAGTTTATGAACAGACAGAACAATTTGAAATTCCATTTTTTCTCCCCTTTCTTTTTCCCTTTTAAATGTGGTGATACATTTGCCTATTAACACTACAGCCAATGCATGATCATCTAGTCTTATTAGTTTTGCATTCCCGGAACCATACAGCCTCAGTCTCATATAGCATTTATTCAAAGGTGTGTAGTTTGGCTGCCCCAACACATTTCCCATTAGCTTCATCAGGGGAATATAATCAAAACCTTAAAGGAGAACTATGGGGTTAAGGCTTTTCCCCATAGTTCTCCTTAGGGTAACGGGAGGACACAAACTAGCGTCCTCCCGTCACCCTAAGCTCAGTAAACCGCGAGCTACAGCTCGCTATATACTGAGACGCCACAGTATACCGCGAGCTACTGCTCACGGTACACTGAGATGCCGCAGCTGAAGCGGATCCCGACAATTATGTCTGGATCCGCCCAGCTGCTTGAGTGACAGCTGGCTCTGCCTATCTAGAGGCAGAGCCAGCTGCACCCGCCCCCTCCCCCGTCCAATCCGCCAGTCAGCGCTGGCGGAGCGGGGAGGGGGGAATCTAGTCACGGATAAACGGATCACGGAATGCCCCTCCCCTGTCACGGCAGAGAGCTGTGACAGGATCGAGAGGTGAGCGAACGCCGGTATGTGTTCGCTCACCTCCCGATCTACTGAGCCGACCTGTGACAGTCTCATTGTCACAGGTCGGCTAGAACTATGAGGTGAGTGAAAAGCACTCACCTCATAGTTCTCCTTTAAATACAAACATATGTCACATACAAGAATATAATATTTCATCTTTTCATTGTAACAACTTACTTTTTTAACATAATAATGTGTGAAAATATATATTGTTCTTCACTGTATCTCTGTGTAAAATTGATTATTTTGATAGAGGCTTTACTTCCATATACCAGAGCGTCCAATAAGGCGAACAGCAAGCAACACATGAGTGACATCACCAAATCTCACTACAGATCTCCTAAGACTAGCTGTTAGAGGCACAGTGCCTTAGATCTCAGATAACAGATAAATAGGTATAAGGCTGTATGCACAGGAGTGCCTAGGCACTCCTGTGCATACTTCAATTATGAACAATGGAGATGCTTATAACTGTATTTGGTGTTACAGAACATTACAACTCTCAAAGACAGCATCAGTGACACCATCATGTGCTGGCCTCTCATAATTTGCTGGTCACCCTCACAGAAGTTTTCCACTTTTTTTCGGACACAGAGAAGGCTGCCCTTTGTGTGCTGCCCTTTTTTTAATGTTCATGTTTTTACATTTTTCCCCTTCAAGGAATGAGAGACCAACAGCCAATTAGCGTTGGGAGCCAAAGACAGATTCAGCCATTTTATCTCCCACCAAGATTATTTTTTATGTTATTTCTTTGTAGAGTAATTTAAAGTTTATATTTTCTTTCTCTTTTTCAATTGTTATAAAAAAAATAGTTTGGGTTATATTTTTTTTCTCCAAAAATCCCCCAAAATATTTGTTTGCCTACGTGCCCAGTATTTAAATGATTTGCACTAGACTTTATTTTGGGAAGGACCACCAACATCCATTGTACTCACTTGAAAGAGAAAATCATATGGTTAATGCTTTGGTATATGTTTTTGTTCATTTGCAGAAGTGAAACCTTCTTGAGAGCTACTAGCTGGATGTGCATAACCTCTGCCTCATGTACCGTACTCACATAGTACTGAATCACTTGTACTAGGCCTCAGTGCCTACATTCTCAGTATAAGTTATTAGCACTTAAGCCCAACTTCAACAGGACCACCAATAGCCATGTTTTTGAATGTATAAAACAACATTACATTATCATATACTGACTGAAAAAAAGCCCACAAAAGACTGTTGTGCATATGTTCCCAGTATTACTTTATTTGCATTCTCATTTTGCAAATTTCAACAAGAACACCAACAGCCATTTGTGAATGTGTAAATCAACATTGCAGTGTAATTTCTTCCCAGAAAAAACCCCAAAAAAGATTGGTGCATTATTTACACTCAAATACCAATTTCAGCAGCACCACCAACAGCCTTTTCTGAATCTAGAAATTAACATTAGTGACATTTATGCCTACAAAATTTAGTTGGGCCTACATTCCCAGTATTCATTTATTTGCACTCAAGCCCTAATTGCAACAGGACCACCAACAGCCATTTTTGTATGTATAAATCAACATCACAGTGTCATTTATTCCCCTGAAAAAGCCTACAAAAAATTGGCGTGGCTACATTCCCAGTATTAATTTATTTACACACAGACCCCCGACCTCAACAGGACCACTAAGGGCCATTTTGTCAACAGGATGAAAAACAGCCAAATGTTAATGAAAATATGGACATGTACAGTCTTTGAAAACAATAATCAAGCCATTTGTTAAAAGGGGCTGATGCAAGCCAGATTTTTTTTTTTAAATCAATATCTTAGTGTATTGATTTCACTGACAAAAAATCTGCAATATTCTACTGAGTGCATGAGCATTCTTTAAAAACTTTTACAAAACACCTAAGCCCTGCCCTTTTTTAAAACCCTGAGAGGAAAAAAATGGAATTAAAAAGCACCCCCCAAAAATAAAACGGGGGTATGGCAGTGAAACTTTTACTGAAGTTGTTGCTGTGACACACACACACTGAAAGCTATATCTGATTGGAAAGATGCAGGGATAAAGAATGCTATAGTTGTGTGCAAAACACTTTGGGTGGTTGCATGTCAAGATTTGAAAATGAAAGAGAGAAGCTGATTGGTTGCCATGCACAGCTGCTCTAGATTTTGTCTGCTCCAGTTTTTGATAAATTCCCTTCATAGTCTGTCTCAATATAAATATGGATGTTTTCATCAATGACCACCAGCATGTAACTGTCCCTGATAACACTCTAAAACACTGTGTGACTGTGTCTGTGACTGCATGTAGAAATAGAGATACAATTTTTCAGAATCCGAACCAGCTTCTAAAGCCTGGATCACACCTAGGCATTTTTGAGCAATTGGAAATGCACTATTAAATGCCCAAAACAAGAAATCCCATGATTTTCAATGGCCCCTGTTCACAGCTGAGCAGGAAAACGCGAATGCCCGAAAAAGTACATGAGTTTCTTTGAGTTGTTAGCAGCGCGTTTTTGCCTCATAGACTTTAATGGAAATGCCCAAAAATGCGTGGCAGAAGCATGTTGCACATTTGCAAAATGCACGTCTTCACGTACACGCTTACAAATGCGCATAAAAATGTACATAACCACACGCAGAAAATGCACGTACAAACACGTAAAAATGATGCCGCCAAGGTGTGAACCTGGCCTAACTGTTCCTGCTAAAACTCTCAAATTCCTCCTTAATCTGTTTGTGTGTCTGTGACTGCATGTAAACATGTGAAGCAGAGGCATAACTAGAACCTTCAGGGCCCCAGTGCAAGAAACCACAAAGGCCCCACCCCCCCCCCCACCCCCCCGCCCCCC